AAAAATGGATCAAGGCATACTGGTTATATGGCTGTATTGCTCGCTATTTTTATTTTATTTTTCCATAATAGGGTTATATATTGAAGATTAAATACCCTGACTTATGCGTTCATGTATTAGTCTGCACTAGTGAAAACAGATGCATTGACCACCATCCAATGCAGCTATAAAAGAGAAAAAGCGGGTTTTTACCGCCGTTGAGTAGTTACTTTGAAACAAGGACAGCGCAATGGCCATGTGTCAACACATGTTGCAGACACAATACCTAGTCAATGATGATCAAGGTGTCCATATAATTAATCAAACGCCGTCATGGTGACTAAAACAGTTTTATTTAATCATTTGCACAAACGAGGCTACTGTAAGCTGTACACCGGCTCTTCATCCATCAGTTATCAGAAGCATACCTTATGTTTAGAAATACAGTGGCCTTGAATGGAAACCCCACAGTGTGTTCCTGAATATGTACTAATAACGATTATTGTTTACCGACATACAATAACATCTGTGTATAGTGAGATAGAATATAGCTCGTTCAACCATCACAAATACAAGCATCTCGATAATACCGTTCTGTTGATAAACCATCACAAAAGCTTATTTCGATCGTTGGCATTCTTCTCGTGGTAGAAAACTAAGACAATGGTGTCCACGAACTGAGATTGAAAATTAGCAAGTAATTAGCTACGTTTTTGTTTCGGCGAACATTTACTTGTGCTTTGTTTTATCCTTTGAACATCTCAAGATGTGTACTATATAAAGACATCAATCTATAATATACGGACCTTGTGAAATTCTTCGATCAACTGACACATGCGAAACTGCAAATTAATATAATAAAATGTAGATTACCGGGGTCTTCATTTGACGGGCTTCGAAATTACAAAATGAGGTGGATTTTAAAGGTCAGAAACGAGAAACTATCTGGTTTTCACCCTTGTGTTTCATGCCATAATCGTTACTTTACATTGCCTGAGCCAACTACTTAACACATCTTATATACTCCAAAGCTTCGCGAAGTACCGATCAAGTGATTAAAACAATTAGGATTACAATATACTCCACCCTGACCTAAACACAATTGACAAGGTTGAATTCTTACCGGTTTTTTATAAACCAATCCTTGTGTCATGCGTTCCGATGGAAAGCTGCAACTATAACAAGGTTCTAATTTCCATTGGCACCAATCTACTTCTTAGTTGATCCTAAGTAATAGGATCATCTTCAATATCAACTGTTCTGAATAATCAAACCTTAAACATGACACAGAATATATTCAATAGGACAAAATTTCAAGGTGAACGACTCTAATTTATAAATATTTGCCAAACCATAGGGTAAAAGCATTCTGATTATAACGTACTGGGGTTTCTTTATTATTTTCAGAGAACTAACAAATAGCAGTACAAAGATTTTTGGATTGAAAAATCGAAGTTACAAATCAGTTCTGTGGGGTTTAATCTGCTCACACTGATTTATAGAATTTGAAAGATTGGTGAAGTTTTGCGTAGAATCATTGGCACACTGACTTATCCAAATGAGCAAATGATAACCGTCTTTGTTCAATGCTAATGTTGAGAACACTTCAAAATCATTCTGATTCAAAAGCCAGTAATGGGCCGTACTCATTTGATTAAACTACAATTGTGTGGTATTCCATATAAAAACGGCTGTATTTGCACCAATGACAGCTTGATCTGTGCACATACGTTACTAATATGTCAATCCTCCTATCTGATAATAATAAATGTCGATTATCAGCGACGGGATCCAGCATTTAGCAATGGCATTTGATAGCCATCCTATTGAATGACGAATTTTTATTCTAAATATGATTGCATAACAAGCGTTCCATCGATTTCATGCGTTAACATCGGGTACTACGCTATACACAAAAATACCATTCTCGGATGACTGTATATCTTTTGGTGTCTCCAAGCATAGGCACGGATAGAAAATGCCTAATGACAGAGCAAATATTTTCAATGATCCGCCCAAACTGTTATGATTTTATAGACCACGATCAATCTGTTGTCTGTGATATTCATAAAGATATTATACGTTTAACTTTATTTATGTTCTCTTAGGGTCTATTCATTACAGCTGCAAATGTGTTTACTATCCCGCATAATTTAGGAGATATCCGCAAATAAAATTGTCTAAAGATATACTATCACCTCGGTTAGAACAAAACATTTTAGTTATATATACGTAGAAAAACCGAATTAAGAATGGCTCATTGCTTGATTGAAGATATTTTTGGTCAGAAAATGCATGAAACAGGTTTATGTGACCGCCTCCCCCAAATCTTGTTTAGCTAGGCAAAAGTGCCAATAAGTAAAACCTATGTAGTAGGGGCTCCATGCAAATCTCTATCACCGGCTTCAAAAGTACATGTATTATTATTACATAGAACTGTGTGTAACTACATTATGAGCATCAATTTTTGCATGAAATGTTTTAAAGCTGTTTGTATACGGTACATTTTGGAGGAAGAGTGGGAATAAAACTCACTAAAGCAATGATCGCAATGAACTGCTATGGGAAACGCAACCTGGAAGTATGAAATGTTATTGTTTGACACTATAATGAAACTCGGCTACTCTTCGATAACATATTTGAGGAGATGGAGATCGACGTTAGATTAATCTCGATTAATCCGCTTTACAATATTCATTGAAGGATACATATCAGTGTTTCCGTCAATACGTACTAGAAACGACTCACCTCAGCTGCTATAGACTTGCAGGTGAAGAATTTCTACCCTTCCAATACCAAGTTAGAAGCAATCAAAAAATGATCGCATCACCAAAACTCTGGAATCTAGTAAATCTTTTGGTTCAATGTTTAATATTCTAATTACTTGTTGACAAGAGTGAAGAACATATTGATCTGATAATCCCTGTATACCCAATCAACTGCGAGATTCATTTTTCGCAAGTTACAGAAATAAAACTAAGTGATTTCATTTCAAATTAATTCAGTTGTTATTATAAAAATAGTACAAAACCCATGATAACCTTTCAATGGTCTGTGAATTCACAAATACTGAAGTAATGATGATCTGCAGCATTTTATTTAGTACGATGACCATACCCAAGAAACTCAAACGAGAAGTATCTTCAACGCAGTGCTAAGAGTTGATGGCCCTATCTTAACACTTTTGGACTTGCAGATAAAAATGCATTACAACACGGACGCCCCTGCTAACACAGCGTCGCACTTTGTGCCCTCAGTTTGCTCCAAAATTCGCACTTTATAAATGAATTAAAAGAACCCGAATAATAAAGATTTAGACTTAGAAAAAATTATACAAACGCAACCCTGTGAAATTATGTTATATATAGAGTATACATTATGTGACATATCTTCCCAGGAGGCAGTCTGTTTTAATCGCCTTCAAATGTTTAATAGGGCAAGCCATTACTGCCTCACGTACGTTAGGCGTTGTTATTGGTTGCTGGTTTTCTTTTATTTATCTTTCCTGTGTCATCTATCACCATTGAGCCTAATTGTTTTTAATGCGCAAACATGTCACCATGGCATCTTTAAACTGCCTCATGTGGCAAGCAAACGACCAGTTATCGTTAAGTGCATGCGTATTGGCTGAATGTGTCTTGAACTACAGCCTGAGGTGTAAATACACAAAATGGTCAACAAATACAAACAACTCGATGATTACTACATTATTTCATAACTATGACCGCATTTAGGTCCGTAAGCTACGATGGTTAGTTTTATGACTGTATTGCGGCCGAAGAACAAAGCACAAAGTCTGTAAGTATACTTACTGAATTTTTTATAAGGAAATCGTATGCGTCTGAAAAATATCCAAAGATATTTTTGTTGATGGCTTACGTCATGAGACTAGTTCTGTGACGAAACACTATTTACTTATTAAAATTGAGTTTTCAACCAGTAAATTGTTATTCTATGTCAGTCAGAGAGGGCATAACCTTCATTCCTTTGTTTAATCATAAACTACGCTCTAGAAGTACACAGACTATCCTACACCCAGCATCTTTACCGCAAGTATCAGATAAATCATAGTTTTGTAACAAGTGAATTAAATAAACTGGTATAAAAAAATGCGGCCGATTGATAAATATGATGCTGGATTTAATGTTCTTGCACAAGGTAAATATTGTCCTTTGACCTTGTGATTATCAATATACAGCAAAGATGACTTCCACACATCAAAGAAGGAATTAAAGTCTGGGGATAAATGCTGAAGGGGAAGTTAAGCAAAACCACCTCACTCCGGGGGCATGCATTGAAACTGACAAATGATAAGGTCCACTATCGACTGAGGGCGACATCCTTTCCGGTTTAAGCCGTGAATGACTGGAACAAACTACCAAAAAAGCCATAGCAGCCAACTAAGTGGCTGAATTCAAACACTGTTTGGACACCTTATGGGGTAGTTTGTTCATCGGAGGAGAGTAAACGTGTCAAGCTCCTGAAGCCCGTCTTTTTCCCGGCATCTCTTCATCCCAATGATCCTCTTATTGCCCCGCTCCCACTTCATCTCTTCACCTCTCTACCAAACCCTAGATTGTCCTTATTGATACAGCATCTTTCATCCTTACAGGCTTCAGAGATCTTGGTGTGACTCTTCCATCTAAAGGGCTCGTGTACAACATAGCACTGCACAAACACCCACGGAGTGGGATACTGTGGCTGGAGGTTCTCTCCTCTATATATCTGTATATCATTGAAAATGTATCCTTTCATCTTATTGTCGCAGCACCGGAAGATCCTTGGAGCTCACCAGTGCAAAGAACTGGATGATCTGGCAAGCTGCCGTCACCGTCCTGGGCAATGAACTGAACTGAACCATAAGCATCACTGCGGGATGACAAGCACACTGCATAATTTGTTTCATGATCAATAACAGAGAGGAAATTTTAGGCATTTAAAACAATAGTTATTCTCCAAAATATAAGAAAACTACCTCGTTGAAATTACTCACATTGGAAAACGTTGATAAATAAAACAGATCATTTACTTACCTGGATATCCAAGGGATCATCCATTAAAGATAAATTAGAGTCTAGGGCGGTGACATACACTGCCGCTTCCACTTTTTCACCACTCACAGCATCAATAAAATCTAACATTCCAATAGCATAACCCTGAGCAATTTCTCTTTCTGACAGCATTTCAAATGCGTTTTGTTTTTTATCTCTTCCCGTAATCTTGTATCCAACGCCCCATGTACGTCGTCCATTATGGTGAACAAGAGTCGCCACTCTTCCGGGCTAATTAGCCCACAGTTCACTGTGAATTTAGCTCAAATATTTTCTCACCCAATCAGCAACTCCAAAACGATAGCTCGCGTGAGAAAATTCTCGCCGAACATTGCTTACATAACCAATTTTTCGTTCAGCCGGGTCAAAAGAAGGATGAAAAATTAATGAACCGTATGCGTAAATCCATAAAGGTTCTTCTTCATTTTCTATATAAGCATCTTTGAATTTGTCCATTTCAATGAAAATAAATGGAACCCCCGCATTTACTGACTGCTCCATAATTATTTATGGTCATATATCATATATTGATCAATATATATGTCGACAAGTAC